CTGCCTCTGCCTCCTGAGTGCTGGGATTAAAGGTGTGCGCCACCAGGCCTGGCTATTATTTTTATTTTATATGTATGCATGTATTGCCTGCATGTAGGTAAGTGCACCTGTATTGTGCAATGCCAATGGAGGTCAGAAGAGGCTGCTGGATCCCCCTGGGACTGGAGTTATGACAGTTATTAGCTGCCATGTGGGTGATGAGATCTGAACCCGGGTCTTCTGCAAGACCAACCAGTGTTCTTAACCACATGGCTATTATTTTTATTTTATATGTATGCATGTATTGCCTGCATGTAGGTAAGTGCACCTGTATTGTGCAATGCCAATGGAGGTCAGAAGAGGCTGCTGGATCCCCCTGGGACTGGAGTTATGACAGTTATTAGCTGCCATGTGGGTGATGAGATCTGAACCCGGGTCTTCTGCAAGACCAACCAGTGTTCTTAACCACAGAGCCATCTCTCCAGCCCCCTATTTTTCCCAAGTTTTAGCCAACAACTGCCAATTTAATAATGAAAGCATTGGCTTCTCACTAGTAGACTGTTTTCTTCAAACAAAAGATTACTTAGAGACTCATCAAATGGAAAAGACAAAGCAGAATGCCTTTGTGGAAGTGAGTGTATAGAAAAGAAGCCCAAACATCAGCTCAACCATCCCCTGCATCGCTTCCCTTGAAGCATCCCCTAGGCGACCTTCTTGATTTAGAAACAGTAGCCTCCAAACTTTCTTGCTCAATCACCTATGAAAAAGGTTTTGCGCTATTTAGTCACACCCACCACACCTCATACACTAATAATTCTAGTGTATGCCAATATTCAATATGCACTTAGGATGAAGTTAATCATTAATGGTAATGCATGTACATCTATCTTCTAATAGTTTTCCTGACAGGTTGGAATATTTTTGGCTGAGTCACTGGTCAATCTGGTATATGCAACCGAGTTTACTTTGAAACAGAGTTAAGGAAGAACTCTGATCCATGCAATACTATTTTTTTTTATTGCTTATTTATACTTACTTTTATTATATTTATTTATTGTGTATGTACACAAGGCACAAGTGTGGAGGTGAAAGGACAGTTTGGGGGAATTCGTTCTCTTCTTCTACCACATGGGTTCCAGGGATTAAACTCAGGTTGTCAGTTTTTGGCAGGCACTGTTATGTGCTGAGCCAGCTTGTCACTCCCTGTGCTCAACATGTTTTTATAGTAATCTTTGTAAGGTTGCATGTTATTTAGTTTGGTTGCAAAGGAAAACAGAATCTACAAAGCCACTAAACTAGGCACATATAACTTCTAATATGCTGTGTCAAGTGGAGAGCAAACAGACTAGTAATGGTGCCTGTCCCTCTACCACACTATGGAGCTGCCCCACCTCTTTGGGTTAATTTATTTATTACAAATCACATGCAACATCAAACAAACCGAGGAGAAAATGCCAGGCACCTAAGGTTGGTAACAGCAAGTTCTGTTCTGTGTCCAGAAGCTATCACTGGGAAACATCTGATTTAAAACAAAAGGAGAGAACTGCTCTCTGATTAGTGGGAAAGGTCAATATCTGCTTTTCAAATTTTCATTTAGTTTCTTCCCTTGGGCAACTCCCTAAAAGCTGAGACCACAGCATGGAGCACAACAGACAATCTATAGCCAAGCCAGATCCTGTCATGATGTTTTGGGATTCAGGGCAGCTGAGGTAAAGAACAATTATCCTAATGGTTACCTGCAAGTCATTTTGTGGGTTCCAGTCAGAATCAAATATGATGCAGGTATCAGCAGCTGTGAGATTGATCCCCAGGCCTCCCGCTCTGGTGCACAGAAGAAAGACAAAGCGGTCTGAGTCTGGCTTACAGAACCGGTCGATGGCTGCCTGGCGCAGGTTTCCCCGTACTCGCCCATCAATTCGCTCATAGGTGTATCTGAGGGGACCCAAATGAACGAAAGCCCAGGCGTTAATCACGGTTCAAAGAAAAATAAACAATCAGGAAGCTGCTGCCCAATGGCCTCAAATCCTTCACTTCTAAATTTGGACCAAATGACAACAGTCTCTAAGGAATCCCACCCTACATATGAGGCAGGACAGATTAGAACTGCATTGTAGAATGTCTTTCCCATGAAATAATCAAAAAACAAAATAAAAAGCCAGGCATAAATCAAGGAGGACTACAAGGATTAAAATCACTAAGTACTGATCCCAATTATCAATCCCCAGTAACTTATCCAGACAACTTATTCTCAAGAATTTCCCAGCTTATACTTGCAGAGAATCTCATCTTAAGAATTTTCCTGGCAAGAAAAGCAAATACAAGCCCCAACTGTTCAACAGTGCTCATAACAAAAAAATCTCAGTGTTTACAGCAGTCTCTGGTTGCTTAGGGCAACCAAAAGGGGTAGGAAGACTACTGTCAGGTATGGATTATGCCACAGCCATTTCTACCCTGCCAGTTCCTCAAAGCTCTAGAAGTGCAAAGCAAAACCTCCAGGCTTAAAGTTAAATCTAGGTCTTCTGGGTAGTATACTACAAGCAAGTAGGAATAAATCACAGGACAGGTCTCTAAAGTGAGCCTACAAGAAGACTGAAGAGCACTGGAGGGCGACAGGGGAAGAGCTGAGTGTCAGGAAGATGACACCTGTGTGGACAGGTAAGAAAAGAGTTGGCCAGCATGAAGAGGTTTGTAAAAGTAAGAACAGGAAACGAAAACTGTTCCATGGACATGTTACCCCTGTCTAATCAGAGAAAAAAAACCACAGATGGACCTTTATGGGTGTTTTGATTTGCTTTCTGTTGGTTTGACAAAACAGTGACCACAACCAACATGGGGAGGGAGGAAAGGGTTTATCTGGCTTACCCCCACCACAGTCCATTATTGAGGGAAGATGAGGTAGAAACTGGAACAGAGAGCACAGAGGATTGCTCTTTGCTGGCTGGTTCAACTACTTCTCTTATACAGCTTAGTCCACCAGCGTAGGCGTGGCACCACCCACAGTGGCTGGGCCTCCCATACAGAGCAGGAATCAAGAAAATGCCCCATAGGACAGGCCCACAGGCCAATGTGATGGAGGAAATTCCTCACCTGAGGTTTCATCTTCCCAGGTGTCTCTAGTTTGTGTCAAGTTGACATAAACTAACCAGCACTGTGGTGGACACCACATGATTAACAGAGCATAAGATGTCGCAGCATCTTATGCTTTTCCAGCTCATTCCATTACAGTCTCTTATCTGCTCCACCGGCAACAGATAAATTCACAGTGGACACTGGCACTAAATCTAACAAATGAACCTTCTAAGTTAAAGGACCAACCCACCTCAAATCCAAAAAATAACCAGATCATGAGTCAATTTGGGAAAGGAGATCTCTAAAACTTAGTTCAAGGTTATAAGGATGGGAATTCTAAGGGTAAATGTGGAAATGGCTTTGAAAACAAAATTTGGGGGTTGGAGAGATGGCTCAGCAGTTATGGATACCCTTATAGAGGACCCGGGTTCAGATCCTAGTACCCACATGGTGGCTAACAATTGTCTATAAATCAAGTACCGGGGATCCGACACCCTTTTCTGACTTCTGTGGACATTGTATGACATGGGTACACGTACATACATGTAGGCAATGCACTCATACACATAGAATAAAAATAATGAACAAAAAAAGAAAACAAAATTCAGCAATATATCCCTAACTTCTTTGAGAAAACAGCCATGTAAGCAAACAGGCAAGGAAATCCACATAAAGAAACCTGAGCAACTCAGAATTACAGAACACTGAAAAACTGTATTTCTCCTACAGACTCATAAGATAACCATACCTAGAAGTGTTGGTATAATTTTTTGCTATTGTTTCTTTTGAAAAATTAGAATATACTGAAGAGTAACATTTTATGGGTACTATAGTAGCAAACAACATGAGAGACAGAGATTGGACTGTCAGAGGCAGAACAAAATGATTTTGTGTTGTAAGATGAAGACAAAGGGTTAGATGTGCACATTTAAGGTTATTATTTGTAACAGCCACAACCCCAAGAGCAAGTTCCTGAGTGTCTCATGATACCAGATACTGCAGCACATGCTTGATGGGTATCACCACATTTCTCACCATAATTCTATGAGGTAGTTTCTATTATCACAACATTTCTCACCTGAGTAAACTTCACAGCAAAACAACCACACAAGCAATCTTGCTCAGGCACCTAGCTGATAACCAAGTTGAAACAAGATCCATGTGACTGAGGGCTTTCACAATGCAGTAGGACAGAGGAGTTTACTTAAAAACTAAAAAAAGAAAATGAAGGCAAACTGGGGACACCCGTAAAATGTGGAAACTTGTAACATTAACTGAAGGTCGAATCAAAAGTTGTAACTAAATATGAAAATGGTGTTGAGAAAACAGTGTTCCAGGAACCTGGCTATGTGTGACCCAAAGTAGCAACACAGAACTCGGAATGAGAAGACAGGGCTACAATTCAATTGAACAATAGCCCCCTTCCCCTATAAGTCAACCAACAATGGTGTAGGAATAGAGGGCTATAAGATACCCCGGGCATCAGAGAGAGCCAGAGGCCTGTGGATCACAGTGAGGTTGGAACTGGCACAGCATGTGGGGAAGAAGAAATCAACAAACAGCAATGAAGCAGCTTACTGAGGGGAAAACCCCATAAAATTAGGTAAGTGTTTTGCCAGCTATGATGTAACAATATTTGTGAGAAGTGAAATGCATGCAGAATGGCTGACACAATGCTCACTCTGTCACTTGTTTAGTTTTGAGGAAGTGCGCTCAAACAACATGCCACTAAAGATAAATTATTTGAACTCTTAGATCACTCCCCATTCTCCCTTCAATTCTGAGCCACATCTCCTCATTCTTGTATGAAAGTCTGGCATGAAATTAAATGGGAACAAAACCAAACGGATAGCTGGAGCAGCAAAGAGGCTGAAGAACAAAGAAACCTTGAGGGCTGATGAGTATGAATGACAAAATCGGACACCGTAACATTTTCCACACCGAACTTCAGCACAGCTATTAACCCTCTGTGACAACTTTATTTTGAATGAGTTCCCTAGGAATTGGTGTGGCTCATCAAGCTGTAATTCTGAAAAACTGACAAATGTCAACAAGAAGCAGGTGGCACTCTGGAAAAAACCTCTGAGGGACAGGCTAGGGGCGAAGGGTGGGGGTGACGTGTTTTTGGCACAAGAAATATTGACCTCAGAGGGCCTGAAGGGAAACGAACAATTTTCTTGTCTCCCAGCAATAACCAGCTGGCACACATCATTCTCTCTCTCTCTCTCTCTCTCTCTCTCTCTCTCTCTCTCTCTCTCTCTCTCTCTCCCCTCTCTCTCTCACATAGACCGAGAGACAGAGGTCACATTCACAACTACCATAAACATATAGTATGTTTGAGATAAATTTCTGTGACAGGCAGGACTTGGTGATGTGCTGCTAGGAGTTATGCTGCTTTGCTCACCATGTGCCCATACCACCAACACAGGTTTCAGTCAAAGGTAGGCCCTTCATATTTATTAACTCAATTCAACGATGTACATAAAAGGTCTAAGTAGAGTACTTGGGAGGCAGAGGCAGGTGGATCTCTGTGAATTCAAGGCCAGCATGGTCTATATAGTGAGTTCCGGGCCAGCTGGGGCTACTGGGAGACCCTGTCTCAAAAAGACAAAAAGACCAAAAAAAAAAAAAAAAAAAAGGTTGAAGTAGATTCAGAGACTAGCATGTTTCTCAGTTTTGCAAAGATGTTAATCCTATTCTATTTAATGCATAAAATTCTATCATATATGTCTCTATAGGAACATAAATATGTATATATGTATACATATATTTTCTGCAGTTAGAGTCTAGAGTGGTCACAGGTGGTTTAAAGAATAATTCTAAAGTTCATCTAGAATATGTGAGCAAAAGAACAGAAGTTCTTTTTGCTTGAAATATTTTTATTTATGTGCATGTGTATGTCTGTGTGTATGCCATGTGTGTACCATGTGTGTACAGGTACACATGGAGGACAGAAGACGGCATTGGTTCCTCTGGAGCCAGAGTTATAGGCAGCTAAGAGCTGCCTAATGTGGATGCTGGGAATAGAGCTGGGTCCTCTGGAAGTACAACAGTGCTCTTAATTGCTGAATCATCTCTCCAGTCCCAGGAAGAATGGGAAAACTGGATACAGCTCTAGCATATATAATGCCTCAACATACTTATGTATAGTATTATATATGAACGTTGGGATAAAAATGTTCTATTTCAGCCGGGCGTGGTAAGTCCCAGCACTTAGGAGGCAGAGGCAGGTGGGTCTCTGAGTTCAAGGCCAGCCTGGTCTACAAAGTGAGTTCCAGGCCAGCTGGGGCTATAGGGAGACCCTGTCTCAAAAAGACCAAAAACCAAAAAAAAACAAAAAAAAACAAAACCAAAAAAACGAAAAACAAAAAACCTATTTCATAAAACAGAAAATTAGAAAAGCAGATATATTTGGAAAGAAAATAAACTTCTACTAATGTTATTATCCGAAACAAGAAAGCTTAAAGACCAAAATCAAAAGGAAAATCAAAGAAATCCAAGTAAGGATTACCAATGAATATGCACATTTTACCTACTTCCCAAACCTACAGTAAAATGATAGTACAAGGTATAATCCTTTCCCCCAAATGAATTAAACAGAAGCAGTAACATTCTGAAGCTAGAAAGTATGCCAAGTGATATGTGATTTGAAAAAAATGTAGAATCCCAGGCAAGACCTAGCCTGATTTAATACTGTGGAGTATCTGGAGGTATCAGGCTCTAGCGGATAGGTATTCCGAAAAGTGAGCATGCAGAGAGTCTAAAAACATGGGAACTAGTGGAATATTTGCTGAAGTATCAATTTGCTTTTATATCACTGACTCCAGCCTTGAAAAGGTTAAGAACTAAATGAAAGCTCTCAATCCTCTGTACTCTGGGAGATAGAATTAAGCATAGTTCAAAGTAGATATGCCACACTGGGAGAGTGATAGGGATACTGAGACTTTCTGCTCTTTCTTATGCTTCTCCCCTAGTCAGCTCAGAAGACAATTAAGATTCCACTTTCTAGGCAGGAAGGAGGAGAAGAAATAAGAGATGAAAATGTGGATACTGGAGGATCCTAATTAAATGGTCAGGCCGACAGATAATTCTCATACTGAGAGCACACCTCAAGTCAACAAGCTCCTCTGACAGACCAGAGCACCAAGTCAGTAGTACCATACCATCCAGTGGTTGTAGATACCAGACACCAGAGAAAAGATCCTGATCTGAAACCCAGAGACTCTGCATCTGCTATGGACGGCAAGGTCCTGACACACCAGCCCCGGACAAAATGCATAAACAAAGCAGCAACAACAACAACAGCAACAACAAACCCCAACAAGGCCCTACTGGAAGGTTACTAGAAAGGAATTAGGCTTGTTTGGGTCAGAGGAAAGGTACAGTAACAGTGGCAGAGACACAGCTACCGCTCATAAAAAGCCGCTCTCTGATAAGCAGCTATGATGGCTAGCGTCAGCAGAACACAGGCGTGTGTGTTGAACCATGCTAGCTTGAGGCCGTCATCCTAAATCCTCTGAACTAAGACTACAGCTGCTGCCTAGGAGAAACATGGACAGTTTGCAGTTCAAGTCGAGCCTCTAAGTAATACTTTCAGAACACTGTGACAGAATTCTGAATTTCTACAACATAGCATCCACAGTATCTAGGGAAAACCTTAACATTTTGTAATATATGAAGAACCAGGAATATGTGATTCATTCTCAAGAGAAAGAAATGTATGTAAACTTAGGATGCTGTGATTCAGACTTAAGTGTTAGAGTAGTTATGCTCAAATCAGTAGTCATATAGGTAATAAAAAATAGGAAATCTCAACAGAAAAACAAAAGTAAGGAGTCAAAACAGAAATCTCAGAACTAAAATAGTAACAGCCATTTCTACATAGTGAGTTCCAGGCCAGCTGGGGCTACCAGGAGACTGACTCAAAAAACACTAAAAACAAACAAACAAACAAAAAAAACTAAAAAAAAAACCCAAACAAACAAAAAACAAAAACCCACCCTTATTAGTAATCAGAAATACAAATTAAAGTAAGAGACTCTAATTTTGGTTTATTGAATTAGGAAAGAATATGGCAAAATAATATGAAGCAGAATTTGGGAAAAGGCATCCTCAAATGGAGTTGAAAATATATAAATAAAACACTCTTACTAGAAGATACTTTGGAAATCTGTATCTGGGAACATTCAGTGTCTATAAAGGAATATTCACTCAGAATTTCTTAAAATTCTGAAAAAACAGAAATAACCTATAAGAATATCATGCAGTTCATCAAGATTTTGTTACAGGAACATAAAGGCAAACTCATAATATATTATATAGAAAATGTGAGTTTTTAAAGCAGAATGTAGGATATAGCAAGTTCAAAAACAATAAAATGAAACACACATATGCACAAATATGAAGGTCTACAAAGGTAAACTCTCAAGTACAAACAGAGACTTGTCCAGGTTAAATCTCTGTATTTTCAAAAGAAACTACAACTCTTAATTTGAACATAAAATTGCATTAAATGGTAAGGGAAATTGCATAAAAGCTTAATCCAGATTTATACTTACCTGCAATCACACTGTTACTTGACATACAAAATGAAAAGCAAACCCACAAACTAAGTCACATATATTTGGAAGAATAAGACACCCAAAGGAGCAAGTGCTTTGGCAGTAAGCCCCTAATCTATGGTGAAGTGACACTACCAAACTGCTCTAGCAGTTTCCATTTACTCACAGAGCTTCCACCAGGGGAAGAAAGGCCTATGATTCTTACCATGCGAATTAAAAAAATAATAATAAATTTATTATTTTTATTTTATGTGTATGAGTATTATGCGTGCATGTAGGTAAGTGCACCCGTGTCATGCAATGCCTGTGGAGGACAGAAGAGGCTGCTGGATTCCCTGGAACTGAAGTTACGGACAGTTGTTAGCTGCCACGTGGGTGCTGGGATTTGAACCTGAGTCTTCTGCAAGAAAGTCAGTGTTCTGAATCATCTCTCCAGCCCAATCCATTCCCATGCAAATTTCTACTATGGCACTTAGAATTCCTTCAATCATCTAGTCTAACTTTGAAGAATTATTCACATAATACTAAATGTCAGCATATCCACAGTTAAATCTGACATTTTCTTCAGTACTCTTTCTAGAAAGTTATGTAACTTATAAGGGCAAATAGAAATCTTAAAGGATAGGAACATCTGCTAAGATACCTGAGATCTGCTACGATTTTACTACCTGAAAAGAGAGGCACTCTTTAAATTTAGCAATGCTTAGGTTACTAACTTTAATGATCTTGAAAACTTTTATATCCTTAAAAGCACATTTCAGAAACCTACTGACAGGTCAGGCGTGGTGGTGCACACCTTTAATCCCAGCACTTGGGAGGCAGAGGCAGGCGGATCTCTGTGAGTTCAAGGCCAGCCTGGTCTACATAGTGAGTTCCAGGACAGCTGGTGCTACAAGGGAGACTCTGTCTAAAAAAGACCAAAAAAACCCCAAAGACTATCTTCTTCAGATCACTCGTGTATCACAGTGACTGAAAGTCTAACAGTGTGATGTAACCAATGTAGCTCCAGCAGACAGTCCAAATAATCCATATACCCCACAGATGTCTCACCTGTACTACTATGGAAGTCAGGTTCAAGGACGCATACAGAGGACTATGAAAAAAAATTAATTGGGGTGCCATCCATTGCTAGTGTATCATAAAACCTTAGAGGATTTGCTGAGAAAAGGACATAAAACCCTTTTTCTGAGTGGCTTAGGCACTTTCAGAAATTTGAAGCAGCAATGCCGCTCAGGATGTATTTCTGCTATTACCAAACAACCAAAGCATCAATACGTTATTTACTTCACCTTTTCTATAGCTATTTCAATTTTGTTTTTTCCAGTTAAAGAAAATATAAAGAAACATGGAATTTTTCTTAAGCAAAACAGTAAGTTCATATTATAATGGCTATGAGATCAGATAGTTAAACTTGAGACTACTTGGCCATAAAATTAACTATGGATTTTAGTTAATCTTTAAAAGAGACCCCTTTTATCCATTTTTGAATGTTTAGTTTTTGTTAAGCATACTTGAATGAATCAAAGAGACCTCATAGAAATGCAGCTGCTCACAGTGCTGGTCACAGCTTTAGTGACAGTCTCACCTCCTCTGGATGAGATAATCTTCCAGGATGTCGAGGCAGCGCACCATCTGTGAGAAGATAAGCACTTTGTGGCCACCTGCAATCAGCTTAGGGAGCAGCTTATCAATCAGCACCAGCTTCCCTGCTGCCTGGATCATGGCCTGCAGCTGAAAGTCAGAGGCATCAGAGCTGTGGGATTTCCGGAAATCTTCCAGAATTTTTTCCTCTGCCCCTAAAAAGGAACAAACAAAACTATTCTTTGAATAAAATGTAATAAAGAATTTTTCTTTGTTTTACAGATTTTTTTTTTCTTGGTCTTTTTGAGACAGGGTCTCCCTGTAGCTCCAGCTGACCTGGAACTCACTATGTAGACCAGACTGGCCTTGAACTCAGAGAGATCCACCTGCCTCAGCCTCCCGAGTGCTGGGATTAAAGGCGTGTGCCACCACGCCCGGCCTGTTTTACAGATTAAAAAAAAAATATTTTGGGGGTTGGGGATTTAACTCAGAGGTAAAGTGCCTAGCAAGCACAAGGCCCTGGGTTTGGTCCTCAGCTCCGGGGGAAAAAAAATTATTATTTTTATTTTATGTGTATGAGTGTATTGCCTGCATGTATGTGAGCATACCCATGTTGTGCAATGCCGCGGAGGTCAGAAGAGGGCGTCGGATTCCCCTTTGAACTGGAGTTAAGGACGGTTTGTAGCCGCCATGTGGGTGCTGGGAATCGAACCTGGGTCCTCTGCAAAAGCAGTCAGTACTCTTAACCACTGAGCCATCTCTCCAGCCCCCGGCTCTGTTCTTTTTTTTAAAAAAAAATTTATTATTATTATTTTATTTTTTTGGTCTTTTTGAGACAGGGTCTCCCTGTAGCCCCAGCTATCCTGGAACTCACTATGCAGACCAGGCCAGCCTTGAACTCAGAGATCCACCTGCCTCTACCTCCCAAGTGCTGGGATTAAAGGCGTGCACTACCATGCCCGGCTTATTATTATTTTTTATGTGTATGAGTATATTGCCTGCATGTATGTAAGTGAGCCCATGCTGTGCAATGCCCACGGAGGTCAGAAGAGGGCACTGGACCCCATGGAACTGGAGTTAAAAATGGTTGTTAGCCACCACGTAAGTTCCAGGATTCGCACCTGGGTCATCTGCAAGAGCAGTCAGTGCTCTTAATTGCTGAGCCATCTCTCCAGCTCCTGACCCTCTCTCTGTTCTATGCTGTGTAAAAAGATGAAAGTATGTATGTTCTAGCAGATATCGAGAACTTAGCACATTAGACCTTTGATTCTCACTGGTTTCTGACAGAGGCCCATGCCTGGTATGAGTGACTCCCTATTACCTTGACTCACCATTGATCAGGTAGGGATGGTTACAGCACTTTCTCAGCTCCATCATGGTGTTGATAAGATTTGGCATGTTGTGCTGATTTGCACCTTTAGTAAGGAAGGAAAAGTTTTTCTCCAAGATGGCACGGTAGTACTTTTTCTGGATATTGGTCAGTTCTACTTCAATGATTGTCTCTTGTTTGGGAGCAAGGTTCTTTTCCACATCATCTTTCAGGCGCCGAAGCATCATTGGTTTTAGGATAGACTGCAATTTCTTTACCTGTTCAGGAAAAAGAGCCATTTACTTGCCCCAGTCTTGACTGAGTGATCACTGTGGTGTTTCAACATTCACTATAATCTCTTCAATGTCAGAGAGCACTGTGGTAGTATACTAAGAGATCATAGACTGACCTGGAAATGGGGAGCTTACAATAGTACTAGAAGGAAAAAGCAATCTGGCTTTAGTTCACAAATTACTGAGAATCTCTGTGGCAACTTCCTAACATGATAAAAAGGGAGAAAGAAGGCAGCACCTATTCTCTGGGATGGAGGAAACAAACCTCCCCGCTCTTTATCACACACACATGCAGAGAAATTAAGTACAGAATATTTTAAGTCTTGTTAGGAAGTACATGTGATACATTAAAAATGAAGACTTAGAAGCTGAAAGGACAGAGTAAGAGGTAGAAGCAGTGCAAAATGGAGTTCTCCTATGCTTTTTATGGAAGAGAGCAGCATTTGTGTCTAGGAGCATTACTAATGTTGTATAGGAACATCTCCCACCCACCATGGGAGCTGTTGTATTAGGGCCATTTCAAGCCTGGTAGTGCTCCTTGCTATGATCTGAGTACACTTCCAATAACCCACACCTCCACAGAGATCTCCACAATCTAGATTTCACCAGCAAGGTAACTTGTTCTCTCTTACAGGCAGACAATGACAAGGTAGGTGATTCAAGTCAAAGTACTTGAGTCAACCTACAGCTGAAGCATGATACCAGTAAGATTAACTCTGATGGGAAAATAAAATAAGGACATGTGAAAGTACAAAGGAAATTAAGTTTTAAAGTCAGAAAGGGCTGTGCAAAAGCTTTGAAAGGGGTCGGATCTGCTGCATCCTGCAAAACTGTAACATCACTTGTAGAAAGCGAGCAAAGAGGTACTCACTGAAACAGGTTTTAGACAATGATGGACATGCTTTACTTTGGAAACAGATACTTTCTAGAGCTATCCTTTATGGTGTTTTAAAATATAGACATTTCATAGAAGCAGGCAGAAAGGTGACTACAGAGACTGGTATAGGCTGTGGGGTTTGGGGAGATATTGCTCAAAGGACAAAAAATGTAAGCTAGATAGAACAAACTTGAGAGCTACTGCTCAACCTGGCGACTATAGTTAGGAACCACATACTATATTCGTGAAGACTGCTACGAGAATGGTCTGGAGCATTCTCACCCAAAATAAGGAGGTAAAGTAATTTACAGGCTAACTAGCTTGATTTAGCTATTCTATGGATACATATTTCAAAGCATGTTGTACACAAAAGCACATATAATTTTGTCAACTAAAAATAGCTTTAAAAAATTACAAAATAAACCAGACATTTGATTGCTTCTCTCTTTATTTTTTGGTTTACTGATAACTAACCCCAATGTTAAACCTACTTCTTATCAGACCTTGATTTTATCATCCAAGGGCACTTAGGAATGTAGTTTCCCAAATGGTAATTACTAATGTAAGAGCCCAGAAAGAAAAGAAAAACACAGCTAGCTAATTGTTAAGGACAGGGACAAATGTCACTTTGCCACATGCCGGGTTCAGCTTTTGCCCTTCACTTGGTTCATACCTGAATCATTTAGAGTATACTACATGCCAGACACTGTGCTGGTCAATACAACAAAGACAACTTTGGAGAAGATGTGGGCCTTGTCCTCAGGGAGATCATTGTCTAGGAAGAAGAAAAAATGCATACCACAAATTAAGTGCAATGGGAGAAGAGGATGAATTTCCAATGGCCCAAAAATGGAGAGAGGGTGGAGCTGGCTTTTCAAGATCAACAGACATTGCAAATGCAAAGGAGGAGAGTTAGGTAGGATTCTTCTCTGTTTATAAAGACTGACTTAAATCACAGGTAAAAAGCACCAAACAGGAACCAGAGTGTACGTGTGACACCAGTAAGTGGAAGTCTCAAATCTCTTTGGTCCCCAAATTCTCTACCCCAACCCACTTTTACACCATTGCTAGATCAATTTAGCAGAACAAATTGTGTCATTCTTAAATAAAAGCCTCATATGACTTCTATTATGTACTAGTTTTTCAACCTGCCTTTCAAGATCTTTCAACAATATAACCATGAACAACTCTGGCCACAGACACTTTGTAATTCAGCCATTCTGTTTATGGCTCAAACAGATGGTTCCTCACTATTGTATGAAGTTCATGGCTGACTTTTTTTTTATTCTTCCCCAATGCAGTTACCTCTCTTTACCTCTCTCATCATTGCAAACTTACTTATCCCTCAAAAGGTATTCTTTTTTTTTTTTTTGGTCTTTTTGAAACAGGGTCTCCCAGTAGCCCCAGCTGGCCTGGAACTCACTATGTAGACCAGGCTGGCCTTGAACTCACAGAGATCTGCCTGCCTCTGCCTCCCGAGTGCTGGGACTAAAGGCGTGCACCACCACACCTGCTTCAAAGGTATTCTCAAATTGTACTCTCTCCTTTGTGAATTTCTAGATTCTTAGATTTCTCTTTTAGAGGTTCCAACTCTTGTTTTTCATTCCTGTTACCACATTTAAACTTGTCTGACTTAATTCTATATTTCTAGGAGCAACATCTACCAACAGTAGATGGATGTTGTTAACAATGGTTTGAATTAAGTCCAATAACTAGACATAGGACTAGATCTTCAAAAACTGAGGCAATCCAGATAATCTGGACAAAACTGGACTTATCCAATACTCCAGATATGACTGCTTTCTTTTCCTCACCCTTGTGTAATGTGCTATAACCAAGAAGATGGGCCTGGGAACATGCACAGACTATACAGTAGGAAAGATGAAGGAATGAGGAAGCAGAAGAAAGCACCATGCTTCTGAGGCCAGAGCTACAAACAGCATCACTGAATGTACAGGGAGTTAAGTGAAGCAGGAGGCTTGGTACATAAGACACTTTGGATGCAAATTTATCCATCCCTTGTTGCAATAAGAATTGATAATAATTACGTGTCCTCTTCAACATAAACAAATACACAAAACAAAGAAAGCATTATTTTACAAGAGATGCAAGAACTTGCTAAATCCTGACTTCATGATGACTACTTTCCATAATGTGAAGCTGACCATCACAGTCTCCTCAATCCTTTTGCCCTTAGTTACCTGCTCTTCTGTTTTTAGATCTCCGAACTCCTCCAAGAAAGCAGTCTCTGAAGGAAACTGAGATGGCTCCAGAAAATTCAGCAAACTGAAGAGCTCTTCTACAGAGTTCTGCAAGGGTGTTCCAGTGAGCAGCACTTTATGTTCCTGCACAAATTAAAAACATTATTGTATAGCGTTTGAGCCACCAAAACAGTATTTTATGGGGAAAATTAAGCCAGGGCATTTTGTGCTCAATCTAGGGCAATTCCATTCATTTTTAATGAAAAGATGGGGTAATGACACTTCATAGGACTTCAGTCATTAACAGGTCAACTTTACTTTCACATCAATGATTCCAGCAGCAATTTCAAAGCTAGAGCAACCATTTATTCACTCAAAAGCATGAAGTGCCTACCCACTGCATATGAGGCACTGCTCTAAGACAGCAGTGTTAAAAGACTACCATCTTTGGTACCAGTTGACATAGGGACCCAGAAACAGAGCGAATACACCTTACATTTCCAGGTTACAAATTTCATGATATTTCAGCATTCCTTTAGTCCCTCTGGGTATCAATCCATGGCAAAAAGGGCATGCAGAATGGCCATGGAACGATCCCTCTACTTGGAGTAGAAGGAATCTGTGTTTATTTATGTAAAAAGCTGGCTAATTCTCACCAGGGCCATGAGCTTTAGTCCCTCCAGAAGTTTACAGTTCCTATTCTTCAATCTGTGGGCCTCATCAATTATCACACAGCTCCAGTGAATCTTCTTCAGCTCTGGGCAATCTGCCAGGATCATCTCAAATGTTGTGATGACAACATGGAACTTGAAGACTCCTGAAAGGGGGTTTCCCTGAGGATGACACAACCCAAAGCAGAGCTTTACACCATGGCTACCAAATTCTGCTCATGGATTATCTGCTGGATTGGAGAAGGCAGTAATGTTCAATGCCAGGTGAGAAGCTAACATGCACTGTTTATCCTCATGTAAGGAAAGAGAAAAGAATAAATCAGTTATTTAGACAAGCAAGATCTCAAAACATAAAGGAAACAACCGTGGGAGTCAATATTCTCATAGAAGTGAGAAGATAACAGACAGCAAGGGGACTTCTCATTTCTTAATTGTGATAAGGAAAGCAGATGGGGTGATTCATGCCTCACCCCCAGCCTGAAGTCTGTCTAAACCATACACATCTTGAATGCTCAAGGAAACCCTCTGTTACGTTGCAGATTCACATAACTGCTACTTTGTAACTCAGACTATTGCAGAGACCCAATTAAAGACCTTGCTGACCCTGGTGATAGATGGGATGGACACACTTCTGTCTGCTGCCTGGTTTTGATGCTGCCACCACAAAAGCAGAGCTGCCTCGTGGTGAAGCACATCTGAAGTTTCTTCCAAGTAAGTCCTAAAGTGTATGAAGCCCGTTTTTCCTCTGACTAATCATTTAATTTTACTTTTCTCAGTTTTGAAAACCAGTGCCCGACAGGCATAAATCCATGCTGAATAAATTGATATATTACATATAACAAAAGCTTAAAAGAAAGTTCTGTCGTGTTTTTAACAATATGAGACCCATTTAAAAAAGATCTTTATGTGCATGAATGTTTGCCTGTATGTAAAAGTATGTACGTATGTGTGCATGCCTGGTGCCCACAGAGGCCAGAAGAGGGCATCAGATCCCTTGGAACTGGAGTTACAAGGAGTTGTGAGTCACTACGTAGGTGCTGGGAACTGAACTCAGGTCCTCTGCAAGAACAGAAAGCGTTCTTAATTGCTGAGCTTTCTCCAGCCCCCCATGTTTACCTTTCTGTATCCAATCTGTTCATTTCTTCTCCAAATTTCCTGGGTGAGGAATCTCTCCGCCATACATGAACTCTCATTTTCTCCTTCCCTCCCTGCCTCCCTCCTTGCCCCCTCCCTCCTCTCTCTTTTTTTCTAAAACAATTTTGTTTATTTTTCTTTTATGCATGAGTGTTTTGTTGTATGTATGTAAGTGCATGCTTGATGCCTTTGGAGGCCAGAAGAGGGCACTGGATCCCCTGGAATTGGAGATATGAACACTATTAGCACTTGCACCAGGTTCAGGTTATTAGTGGTAGAAACCAAACCTGGGTTCTCTGCCAGAGCAGCCAGTGCTCTTAACTGCTAAGTCATCTCTCCAGCCCTCTCACTTTTTTTTATTGAGCAAGTAATAGTTCAGAAAAAAATCTTCTATATACATAAGCAACTTCATAAGTCAATCAATAGGCCAAGCTTCCAGTGTCCTATAAAAGACCTCTGGTTATCTCAGAGGGATGAGCAAGTATCTCTTCACTCTTCTGCTTTATCATAAACTAATAAAGCTACAAGGGAAGAGCAAGAAGTCAGAGTTACCAAGTACAGAACTCTACAAATAAGTCAACAGTAACCCAAGATGGATGGCACTGAAACTCCTGAAGATAAGGTCAAAAAAGCTGTTGTGATCTCAGGGACTCTCTGGGTCTTTGAGGTTCACGTGAGGCTCACCTGTGCATCTCTGTACACCATCTCATACTGCTGGATCATCTGCCTGCTAATCTGGCTGCCGTGGTACACAATGGCATTCATTTCTGTCCATGTCCGAAACTCTCGCTCCCAGTTAGTGATGGTGGAAAGGGGAGCAATGATGAGAAAGGGGCCGTGGATTCCCCTGAGGAATATTTCTGAAAGGAATGTGATGGACTGGATGGTTTTCCCTAGACCCATCTCATCAGCCAAAATACAGTTTTTTCTGCAGAGGGTAAGAAATGTAGGTGATTCATTATCAATATAGGAAAATTGTGGGTTTTTTTATAACTCTCTGACCTCTAAGGTCAGTGAAGACTTTATAACTTTGCAGAATTGAAACTGAGGCTAGGTTTACAATTATTCATACCTTGCCTACTTCCAAAATGGAACTATGCCAACTTACAAGAAAATATATGAAATAAAGCCATAAAATAGAAACTAAAAATACCATAAATTAAAACAATGTTACGAGATTAGGGGAAAGATGCTTCAAAACCAAGCCAGGTTTTTGAAAATTCAATTTTTAAAATTAATTTTAAGTGAGTATACACATTATGATGTTTTCATTCATCACATCCATTCATACATTCACTGCTTTAGATCTTTCTTACCACTTTCCCCTCCTTTTGCTGGTCTCCTTCCTCCTACAAAGAGTACTCCACCTTCTGCTTTAGTGCCACAGATATTCAATTATACTTTCTTTTTAAAAATAATTTTTTTGAGACAGGGTCTCCCTGTAGTCCCAGCTAGTCTAGAACTCAGTATGTAGACCAGGCTGGCTTTGAACTAACAAAGACCTACCTACCTCTGCCTCCCGAATGCTGGGATTAAAGGCGTGCGCCACCACACCTCAATTATACTTATACACACACACACACACACACACACACACACACACAACACCCCCCCCACCCCCAGAGTCTACATAGGGAAAATGTGAAATTTGTCTGAGTCTGGCTGAGCCAGTTTTTGGAACTGCAAACATCCTAGAAACCAAGGTAAAAATGAAAAGATGGTAAATCCTACTGTCCATCCTCTTTGTGTTATCAAAGGACAAACTTTTACCCTACATAACAAATTCCTTACATGAAAGAGTAAAAATATTGCTCTCTCTGGTGATGAGAAGCAAGAGTGGTGATCCTGGAGAGTTGTGACCACTATCTGAGCTCAGTCTCTCACTGCTGTGTGACCCAAGACCTGGATCACTGGGTGAGTTATACTCTGGTATTGGCAGAGACTACAACTAGAACCTGAGGTCCCCAGAATTCCTTCTAGGTGTGTTCTGCATGGGAGTACACTGTTAACAACAGCAACAACAAAAAACCTTCCCTACCCCACAAAAACAAAAACAACCCCCCCCAAAACAAACAGAACACAAAGAATTCAAAGATGATTGCTACTGTACAAATCATCCAGCACATCTACTACATACAAAGAACAGAAGAGGCCAGGTTCATTCCTTTTTATATCTTTTTAATTGTGCGCGTGTGTGTGTGTGTGTGTGTGTGTGTGTGTGTATGTGTCTGTCTCTGCCTAGAGACTTAAAGAGATAAGGTCAGGTGTAGTGATATATATATAATCCTAGCATTTGGGAGGTAGCAGCAAGATGATCACAAGTTCAAGGTCATCTGTAGCTATACAAGGAATTTGAGGCCAGCCTGGGCTATATGAAACCCTATCTCAAAAAACCAAAACCCAAACAAATAAACAATAGCCCCAGCAATACAGATCTTTTATGTTTTATTTCTCCTATCTTTTTTATTAGAATGTCCCCTTCCACCAAGACACAAAATCAGTAATAGCTACTTACTCTTTTTTGTTGGGGCAACGACTGATATAAAAATAAAGTTTTGGAATATCCCCAAACTGAAGGTGGTGCTGCTCTCTCACTATCCTTCTACTACTCTCTGTTTTCCAGGCCAAGGCAACAACATACATTGCATTGCAAATATGGGTTGGTTTGGCCCCTTACCTGTTGTACCAATTAAAAAGAAGCCAGTTCATCCCTTCCAGCTGGTATTCCCGGAGCTGGTTACTGTTTTTATACTCTCGAGACTTCTCGAGTTTCTGCCAGGAGTCTGAGGCAGGCCTCTCCTAGGGAGGAAGCAGAGAGCACAGTGCAGAGAAGGGTGTTGGGAACACAGCACAGGCAATGTGGGCAAGGCAGTACATCCCAAATACTAACCTACGGCTGGATTCAATGCAAATATTATTTTATGAGTAATGGTACTGTATATTCTAGATTTCACCAGATCCTGAACACTGCTGTGAAGCTTGTACATAAACAGACCTATCCTTAATCTTGGTGTCCTATGGCTTTACCAGGCTCCTGCATACCATCCTCATCTATACTTTAATACCCTACAAGCTAACATCAGTCAGCTTTTATGGTTTCTATAAAAATTCTATAAGCAGAATTTGTGTCTAGGATCAACTCAGGAAAGTAGAGTGGGTCAAATACTGTGCTGGTTAGTTTCTAAAATGAGCATATAAAAGAACTCCTTAAATACAATAGATGCACTCTACCTGTTTTATTTTTCTACATGAAATACCAGTTTCTAAAAGCCAGTCATCATTTTTTTTTTTTTGGTCTTTTTGAGACAGGGTCTCCCTGTAGCCCCACCTGTCCTGGAACTCACTATGTAGACCAGGCTGGCCTTGAACTCACAGGGATCTGCCTGCCTCTGCCTCCTGAGTGCTGGGATTAAAGGTGTGCGCCACCACTCCCGGCCCTCAGTCATCTTCTCTATACTAATATGAGGTCACACTATTACATATCAAGTTTCAGGACAACCACAGTGCTCTATCTACAGTTATTCTTTTCTACTAGGAAGTCTATTACTACAATAAAACCACATTCTTTAACTACTTAAGTTATGTATCTGATGGGGAATTATTTTTCGAAAATGTCTTTGTTGAGGCCAGGGAGATGGCTTGGTGGATAAAGTACTTGTTATACAAGCATGTGAACTTAAATTTGGATCTCCAGCATCCACATAAAAAGCTGGGTGCTGGGGGCTAGAGAGACAGATCTGTTCAGAGACTTACCGTTCTTACAGAAGAAAGGGATTCAGTTCCTAGCACCCAAAACATTAAACAAGAAAACAAACAAATAAATTGGACTGAAGAGATAGCTTAGCTGTTAAGAGTGCATGCTGCTCTTCCAGAGGGCCTGAGCTGGGTGCCTAGCACCCACATTAGATGGCTCATAACCTCCCATAACTCCAGTTCTGGGGGATTCAATGCCTTCTTCTAACCTCCTAGGGCACTGGCTCACATACACAGACAGACACATAAATTAAAAAAATAAACTTTAAAAAGAAGTAAATTAATGAAAGCAAATAGATAAAAAACAAAGTGTCAAACAGAGGAAGACACCTGAAGTCAACCTCTGACCTCCACACATGTATAAATGCACATACACCTCTTTACTATTTTATGTAATTTTAGAATTGAGTTCTCTTAAAATTTCTACTGAAATTTTGATTTTGAGCTTTCCTATCCAAAAATTTTTGGGTTTGTTTTTATTTAGACACAACATGGTTATTTAGCGTATAGATAAAATTGAACCTTTAAACTGACGTTTTAAGGTTAAAAAAAAAAAAAAAACTCAGCTGTGCCTAATAAGAATAATGAGTTCATAGCTTTTCTATATAATACTTTTAGTTTTTGGTAATTTTACTCTGAATTATTGCAATAAAATCTGCACCTAAAATATGCTTTTAACTAAGCCATTTGTATGTAAGATTTAAAAAATAACCTCAATTCTAACATTTGTATTTGGAATTAAGTATAAGCTATTCATGATCTTTCAGAAAACTACATGTAACAACTTACCTACAAAATTCTGTCAGCTGTGGTTAGATTAAGCACTCAGACTGGAACTCTGTTGAATGTTATCACCAGCACAAAGTTATGGGTGTTTACAGAGATAAAGGAGGAAAGATTACATTACGCAGATATGCTTTGGGCATGCTTCTCTCCTCTATAAGACAGGATGAAGGCATTTTTTGGAAGCTTCTTCACCTCTAGTGACTGCAGCACCTGGCTCTTGGCAGTGCAGACATTATTTCAGAATGTCGCTGAGGACTTCTCTTTGCTGTCTTGAGTGTTCTAATGTAGTACATCCCTCTCTGATGTAGTCACTGCTCTGGGTTTTCCCTCTTTCCGTGATTTCAGATACTGACTATCCTGGTCATCAAGGCTGAACTTTCTAAAGTGCTTTAGAAAAAAGTTATTCAGGTGAAGAACCATTTTTCTTAAAGTACCCCTTAATGTATAAAAAGATGGATTTAATTATATTTTTAGCTACCACTTCAGTTTAGAATTTTTGAGATAAAACTTCAAAATGTACATTTCATTGATTGTTCTAAAGTGTAAGTGGGTACCAAAGCTCACTGAAGAACTAACTGATCCTCACAACTGTATAGTAAAGGAACCTGAAGGCCCCTGAAAACAGCTGAGAGCCCCACCCTGCCAAAGGCATAGTAAGGCTGCAGAAAGCAGTGGGAGCTGTACTGGGAGAACAGGTCTAGATGATAAACTGGCCTCAGAACCAACCTCTCTGCTCCCACTGGTTTGTTTCTGTATTGTGTCTCACATCTAATTAGCCTAGTGCTGTATTTCTGCATACACACACATGCTTCTTCCATTAAACTGAGCTCCTGGATCAGGGCCTGTACCTTGTTATTTTTACTGTACTGCACACAGGAGTCAACCCTTAAGAGATGCTTAATAAATGATTGACAAATTAAATTAAAAACAGGTAACACCATATATAGGAGAGGGCTGAAAAGGGATCTGATCAATCATGTGAATCTCATCACAACCTTCATCTTAAGACACCTCTATACATTTTCATTTGTCAGAAATCTAGAAGTGAAACCTTGCTCTTAAAGGGACTTTGACAGGGAGCTGCTCACCACCACAGTTTAGTCTTAGTTCTACCTTTTCAGTGATGTAAAAGCAATAATACTAAGAAAGGATTGGACATTTTCATATGAAAACAGGGATTAAAAAAACCAAAACTAGCCAGGCGTGGTGGAGCACTTTAATTCCAGCACTCAGGAGGCAGAGGCAGGTGGCTCTCTCTGTGAGTTCAAAGCCAGCCTGGTCTACATAGTGAGTTCCAGGACAGCTGGGGCTACAGGGAGACCCTGTCTTAAAAAGGCCAAAAAAAAAAAAAACCAAACAAACAAACAAAAAAAAACCCAAAAAAACCCCAAAACAAACCAAACAAACAAAAACCAAGATTGGGCTAGAGAAATGGCTCAGCGGTTAAGAACACTGACTATTCCCGTAGAAGACCCGGGTTCAAATCCCAGCACCCACATGGCAGCTAACAACTATCCGTAACTCCAGTTCCAGGGGATCCAACAGCCTCTTCTGACCTCCACGGGCATTGCATGACACGGGTGCACTTACATGCAGGCAATACACACATACACATAAAATTTAAAAAAATTAAAAAACAAAACAAAACCAAAAACCAAAACCAAAACCAAACCACAATCAGCTAGGCGTGGTGGCACACACCTTTGATCTCAGCATTCAGGAGGCAGAGGCAGGCAGATTTGTGTGAGATGGAGACCAGCCTGGTCTACATAGTGAACTCCAGGCCAGCTGGGGCTATAGGGAGACCCTGTCTCAAAAAGATCCAAAAAAAAAAGACAATAAACAAACACCAGAAACAGACCCATTAACAAGTGATTCTCTTGTCAAATTAGTTCAACCCTAACACGGCTCTGATTCCAATTCTTCATCCTTCTAATTATTAACGATCCAATACAAATAACCCCAAATCAAAAGAACAAACAATATACCTATCTCAAAATTCTAAGTCTTCTTTTGGTGGTTCCAGGGATCCATAAAATGACCAACGATCATCTTAAGAATATTCCAGTTGAGTGAAAAAAGGGTCAAAAAGAAAGAGAAAGACACCCGAGGGAGAAAGAGATTCAAAATAGAGGGCAGGAAAGACACTCTGCACAGAGCATTCCACATCTATTTCTCGTACACTCCATTTACTGACTCCTCAGTATCCTGTATACCCAGAACTCTAAACCCCCGCTTAAGCTTCCTAAATGTCATGTACATCAAAAGAGAGTCCAGACCTAATGCTGACCAGGATGCAGGCAAAGTTTATCTTGGATGGGAATGCACCCTGAGCTGCAAACTCAAATGGGAGTTAGATACTTCAGAAGGCACCAAAAGAGTTAAGTTCATAAAATTATGTGTTACAAGGTGTCAGACAGAGATACAGATATATTACCACATGCTTAATTTCAGGGAGAACTTGAAGAGATTCAAATTCTTTAACTTTTGCAGGATCCACATCTTCCTCTAACTCCCACGTGCTTTCTTCGTACGGCAGGGAGCACCACTTCACCAGGTAATGTGTTACCTCCTGATGGAAAAATCAGAAAGACTTGGGTGTTCTGAGTAGATTTAAAGGAGTTAATCATTCTCTGCCAGCCCTCCCTATATAACAACACATGGATGTGTTAAAACAAACACCACCCATAACAAGACAACAAAATGTGTGGAAAGAAGGGACAGTGCTTTAAAGATGCGAAGAGCAACACACCTACCTCCCCTGTTTCTGCATCTTTGGTGTGGGCCACCTCTAAGATACGGTCAATTTCTACATAGTCTGGATTGAACAAGTCTTCATCCGGCTGAAGGCAAACAGAGAACAGTTAATAGGAGTCTCTCTTCCCACAAATCTATACCAGGGTTCTACTTTAAGGTAACCCCTTATTCTGAACTCTTATCAGAAATCACTGACAGAAGTTTGCTTGAGAATAAAAGTCACTTCACACACATTTCTGTGAAGACTGTCCCCAAAGCCTGCCTTTCATGACTAAATTCAAAGAATGTAAGCACTGCAAAGGCTGCGCTATGGTCAGGTGAGACTTTTCTACCCATGGTTAGCAGTACTTTCTGCTCTTTATTACAGCAATGTGCAAAGGTCAGCTCATGGGCTCTCTTACTACTCCTCAGTCCCTTGGGCACTTGGAATTACAGTTTCTTTTCCTTCTTAACACTAGAAGGGACTTGAAGGGAGTTTCCTGGATACTGATAATGTTCCATTCCTCAATTAGGTGGTAATTACACCAGTGTTTTATTCTACAAAAATTCATCGAGATGCATACTTATAATTTATTTACTTATATTTATGCATATTATGCTTTAAAAAGACTAGGTTAACAAGCTTTAGGAGCATTTAATGTGTCTCAAGTTATGCAACACGTTTCATTTAAGCCTCAGAACTACCTTATGGAGTAGGTACTGAAATTACTTTAGACCTTAAGGAGTAGATTGAGAGATGCTGATTAAAGAATACAAAGTTTCAGTTATGTGAGATGAATGCTCTGGAGATCCAAAGCATAGCACAGCAGCAGTTTAAAATACCGCACTGTCTACTTGAAATTTGCAGAGGGTACAATTTATGTGTTCTAATCTGGGGGCAGGGGGAGAGAAAGATATGGCAATTATATGGGTTGATGGACATGCTAACAATCTTAACTATGATGATTACTTCATTATGTGTATGTTCATCACAACATCAAGTTGTAGACCTTAAATTTATGCAAATTTTGTAAATCATACCTCCACAAAGTTGAAAAGTATAACAGCACTGTCATATAACTATAAGTATTCTGCACAGAGATACTATCAGGAGTCCTACCTTACACAGGTCAGGATATGGAGTTGCAAGACCTTATCAAGTGGCTCAAGGCCACCCAGTTTTGTGTGCAGCACATGCACAGGGAGGAAGCCCCAGTATGATCTCAGAGCCCCTGTGGCACTCTACCTTTGCACTTACTCAGCCATGCTTCTGTCCCTCGATCACCTACTGTCCTTTTACAGCTGCCCTCAGGGTTGGCAAAGTCCCTCACTGAGCACTCCTGCCCAAATGAACATCGCACTGCAGAATGAGGACAGCAGGGCTTTTCTCAGAATGCAGCCTAAGTACGGTGACTTGAAATGTGGCAAACCTGTAGGTAATTAAACTAGCAGGACAATAACATTCTCTACTTTAAAATACCAATGTAAGACATTACATTTATTTCCCTATTTTATTCATCCTAAACTGTTCAGACAAACTTAGACTTTGACCTTGTCACTTGCTTGTGTAGCATTAGTCTGATAGGGAAGTCGGAGCAGCTGGGATTTCAACTTCTGTGGCTGTGTGTGAACTTGTAACCTCTAGAGCTGGGTCTCTCTCAAACATGCTGCGGATGCCTCATACAGCAGTTGGAAATAAAGAGTGTGAAGATGACCAACCCCAAATTCGGTTACTATTCATATCAAAAGAATATTATTTATACAAGTTACTAATAAAAATGTCAACTAGGTGATCAGAGACACTGCTACAGGAACTTCTCCCCACTATAACTCATCCTTAATTTTATGATGTGCTCCAATCTTCCCCAAAGCCTTTTCCTTCCTACCAGGGTAAGCTCCTGGTAGACACCCTCTTAGACACCCTCACACAATTTTCTGTCTACAATCAAGGAAAAGTTATTCTCAGGGGACTACCTCAGAAAAAGACACAGGACTGCGTAGGCTATATCACTAAGTTTGGGCTTTATTTGAAAAAGGGGGTTGGGGAAAGCATGTAGGAGGGTCCAGAGCAGGGACCTGGTATATGACCCTATGTCTAGTCCACAACAGAAAGGCGTATTTGGTCTGCCTCACAGAGCTTAAAATGGAAGAGCCGGACATGTAAACAAGTTACTTCACTGCAAATACTTGCTAAAATACAGGTGTGAATAAAATGGTCCAAGAAATACACAGATCATCCAGTGGGGCTTCACAAATAGTCCTCTGATTCCACTCATCACCTTCCTTTCTCCAATTCTGAGGGAGGAGCATGTTGTGAAAAATAGTTCTCATAGGCTTTAAAACCATCACAGAGAGTCTGGGCCCAACTGTAATTTCACTGGGGAAGAGGGACAGGCTGTGGACTGACCCTTGTGCATGCTAGGCAAGTGCTGTAGCACTGAGCTACATCTCCAGCACTAACTGTACAGTTAAATCAGAAAAAAATCCAAAGGAACAAGGAGTATTCGCTGACACTATTCTCAACAACCTGTCACGAAAAGGATGTGAATACTGAGCTGGGTAAGTATATGAGAAATTTAATATAACTTGATGGCATCTGAGTTCAATCTTAGGATCTAGTACTAATGATTATACCTTAAGAATATTTTTTTTTGGTCTTTTTGAGACAGGAACTCCCTGTAGCCCCAGATGGCCTGGAACTCACTATGTAGACCAGGCTGGTCTCGAACTTACAGAGATCCACCTGCCTCTGCCTCCCAAGTGCTGGGATTAAAGGCATGTGCCACCATGCTGAGTAATTTAAGAATAATTTTCATTGCTTCTCTCCTTCACAAATTATCCATATGAAACTATATATTACACATTAAAAAGAAAATAAGATTTCACATATAATGAAGAAAAAAATGAAAAGTATTAAGATCCCATCAACTAGAGAAAATGACAAGATTTTCATGTATTTATTCCAGGCATTTTTTAGGCACTATTATGTTACTTTCCTCTTGTACCCCAGGTTGGGATTTTTCTAGGCACTGTTGGAGCCTGGCATTTTACTAACAATAGTTTAACACTAAGCACATTTCCAAATCACCAATAATTTTCCTTAATACTATTCTTACAAATGTATACTATCCTACCCAACAGAGATATAACGTAATAAATGTCTATTATCTAAAATTGAATTTAAATTTTTCATTAATACAAACAACTCTTTATCATAGCTAAATCTTTTGTGTAAAGACTTGAAAATTTCTTTAAAATAAATGACAGAACTAGAATCAAAAGACATGCAGATTTGGAGACACCTGGTGGGTCATACCTAGCCATGCTCTGACCATGGGTAAACCAGTGTCCCTACCCTATGATCTCACCAATAATGGATAATACCCAGTATAGCCATAAAAGCCTTTAAAACTTTCAAACATTTGGTAAGTAAAAACTATAAGATTATCATTTTATTTGCATTTCTTGGATTACTTGTGAGACTGACTACACTTTTGCTGTTTAATGACTAACTTTTCCTTCTTTCTGAATTCTCTGCTTATTTTTTTCTGTTTTGGGTTTGGTATTTTTCTTACTGAGTTGTAAGAACATTTCGTTATTATTAAAGCTATTTGTTACATATACGTAAGTGTGTAACTTAGTATATGTGTAAATATACAGATTCCTGAGGCTGGAGAGATGGCTCAGTGGTTAAAAGCACTGACTGCTCTTGCAGAGGACCCGGGTTCGATTCCCAGCACCCACAAGGCAGTTACAAATCGTCTTTAACTCCAGTTCCAGGGGAATCCGAAGCCCTCTTCTGACCTCCGCAGCTTTGCACGACTCAGGTATGCTCACATACATGCAGGCAAGACACTCATACACATAAAATAAAAATAATAAA